AATGTAATTTTTGCTATATATGGATTGCTTGAGTTCTTAAATTATGGAAAATATAAAAAAATTGAAAATAGTAAATTTTGCTATCCAGGGGGGTGGTCAACTTTTGCTCCCCTAAAAGTGGCTTGCGCACAGAAATGACAAACGGTATTCATTATTTGAGTTCATGTGTGAAAAGTTCGCTATTTGTTGCATTTATGATAAAATTTCGGCAGGATTTTACCAAGTACAAATCCTCCGAAAAGCCTATGAAAACGTTACATTTTTCTCTGTTGGTGCTGTTCTTGCTTCATTATGAATTCATTTTTACTCCCATGAGAGTTACGTGGAATTTCCATGGAATTTGTGCTTTCGAGTTGTTTGTGCTGAAACGCATTCTCTCGTATAATACTCCGTACACTTTGAAATGGCGATGCCACAATTTACCCCGCAGCAGAGAGCTTTTATGCATGGTATCAGAGTTCCTCCGTAGCAACAACATAAACTTGGTTCGCCAAAGTTTCACGAACGAATATCCAGATGTACGATGCCCTTCACGTATTCGTTACGTGAAGGGCACATGGAAGGGCATCGTACATCTGGATATTCTTTCGTGAAACTTTGGCGAACCAAGTTTCGTGAAACTTTGGCGAACCAAGAAACTTTGGCGAACCAAGAACTTTCATGGGAGTAAAAATGAATTCATAATGAAGCAAGAACGGCACCAACGGAGAAAAATGTAACGTCTTCATAGGCTTTTCGGAGGATTTGTACTCGGTAAAATCCTGCCGAAAATTTATCATAAATGCAACAAATAGCGACCTTTTCATACATGAACTCAAGTAAAGAATATCGTTTGTCATTTCCGTGCGCAAGCCACTTTTAGGAGAGCAAAAGTTGACCACCGACCTGGATAGCAAAATTTACTATTTTCAAAATTTTTTATATTTTCCATAATTTAAGAACTCAAGCAATCCATATATAGCAAAAATTACATTTCATGAACAGAATTGTGGAATTGAGAGCAATTTCAAAATTGTCTTACTTTTTTTGATACACCCTGTATAGAAAAGCATATTTCAAAAATTGGTTCATCCAAGCTTACACCTGATCAGATCAAATATCTTTAGATTAAATTGCCCCAATTGGACAGCAGTAAAACTAGTGAGAAACTCACTGCACAACGCGTCAAATACTTGGTTGAGATTAGCGAGCGGGGTTGGAAAGAGCTGGAGCAGCCCACACAATATCACAATTTTGATAACCCTCAAGGCGAGCAAAATTAAAGTTTTTTTCTTTTTTGTATAATCACTCGTGTCATTACACCATAATGTATTCTTATCCCCAATTATTAGGGGTGGGACGCAACTCGATTCTGGCTGGTTAGTGGAGAGAACTGATGAGAAAGGCATGGCCGAGACAGGAGTCATGTTGTCAATAGGCCAACAATATGAAAAGCAACCAAATATTTGAATATATCACATAGTTAACATAATTTCAATTACATACTAGAAATACTTCAATGGAAATATATTCCAACGTATTTTTTTTAATAATCGATCGCACTCTTATAAATGCAATGATTGCATATAATAAGTTACGGCCCTAAGGCTAGTGACTTCTTCCCACAAGCCAAAGGTAGGGCGCCTCTTGCGCACACCCCTTTTAGTTGCAAAGAAACGTAGAAAAGCTAAGTATTCTGTGTCAAGAGCCATCCGATTTAGAGAACCGGGGAGCACACTGGGTGGACGTGGTTTATGGAGATAAGCGAGGGCGTTGTGAGGTTTGTTCCCAGAAGAATGTTAAATCCAGGCCACACAGTCAATGTTCAATGCGCTAGATATTTTTGTGCAGCAAGAGTGAAACATAGCTGGCTGTAAATATAGTTTTTTTAAAAACACATGTTAGCATTAACTATATATTTTTATATGTAATTATAATATTGTAATATTGTTTCTGAACGAATTTTACTGTTTCATTTAAACAGTTTGACATATATTTTTATATGTAATATTTAACTTTATTTGTTATATTTAATGTTTTGAACTTTTCGATCATTTCCTTTTTCAAATATACTATTTCTCCAAATGTTTTTTTTTTGTGTTGTGTGTGTGGTAATTCATATCGGGACTTTAGAGTCCCATTAATTTCTCAGAATCATAAACATTCAGGGAATTTTAAATAAAATTTTGAAACACCATCCTATTTGTGATCAGAAAACCAAAGATGACTTTTACACTGTACAGGATTCGTATGGTGGTATACAAAGGGTTAAATTGTAACTCTTCTCGAAGTTTGAACAATGTCGTGTAATGCAATCGTGTCATTTTACCTTGCGAAGTTGAATAAATAAACAAATACTTTCCAAACAAAGAACTTGCTTCCAACGATTTCAGTATGTTGTTATGATATGCGCTATTTTGAACAACGAATGCCAAACAGTAAGAAATGCAATGAACTCGAGCATCTCCGTTCGAGTCTCCGTTTAATTTGAAATTATCAACTTTGCTTCCATGGCCTGGCAGCATGTTAACAGCTGATCCTCAACAGGTATTTTTGCCCTAGATGAATCGCGTAAGTCTACTACAATGGAGTAAACAACAGCCGCAAAGTTCCTACAAAGACAAAGCTAACCGCGCATGTAAGATACTGATGAAGGGAAACTGCAACCTAAAGCTTCTAAAGCACACCGACCGAAACCACGACGTATAATCAACCGCAAATGAATTATTCTCGGATTTGCCACCGTACCAGACCACCTCAAATACAAGACCGGCATAATCACCGAGTAACTACCCCACAATGGCACCTCAGACAAATTACTCCCCACGATTTGGCGAATAGCCAGGGATATTTTCGAAAGAGCCGCTTAAACCACAGACCCCCGGGCTGGGAGGACTTATCTTAGTCAGCCAAATAACCAAGGCGCAACAACGAAAGTGAACATAATGGATCTATCGAATATCCCTGTTATATTAATTCAGCGTTTGGATCGGGTGAAAATACACTGCCCGAGACGAGTTAGTACGAACCGGCAACACGAGATCTCTCCTCTACGCATCCCTATTAGAATAACTAATAAATCTATGACAATAGAAAATTTGACTCTGAGCGATCAAAAATTGTCCTTTCTCTAACAAATGCGAGATCATTATTGTCGAAAGATGAATACTTACGCCGGTATTCTAAAAGCTCACTCACACTCAATGAGTGGAGGTTCAATCTGAGCTTTTCTTGAGTGTGTCAATGCTGTTTTTGAATAGCTGCAGGGTGAATAGTCACATACTGTAGTAAGGTATGACACTAGTCCTCCAGCTATTCAAAAACAGCGAAGACGCTCGGGGGAATCTCACATTGAACTTCCACTCATTGAGTGTGAGTGTGAGTGAGCTTTTAGAATACGGGCGTTCGAGTCAACCATGAACCTAAATGGTGTTTGCTTTGCATTCATTACAGAAACATGATTGAACGAAAATATCGACGAGCAGCTGTCCATATACCGACATATTCCGTAGCGAGACGAGACAGGGTTTCTAGGACTGATGGAGGGGTTTGTGTCAAATCGTACATCCCTTTTCAAGTACTAACCGAGTTACATCATGGCGATTTTGAGACACTTTTGCTACATATCCGAGCACATAAGCTATTCCGAGGTTTTTCGTATCTGATCGTTTGCGTATCTTATAACCCTTCAAGTTGCGACAATGAACCATTTATCGACCATCTAATTGCAAAACTTGACCTTGCACTCGTCATATATCCAAATGCAGGCATTTTTCTCGTGGGCGATTTCAACAGGTGCCAGATTTCATCCCTGCTTAGACACTTTTCTCTAAAGCAAATCGTTAAGGCCTCCACAAGAAACGAAGCTACGTTGGATTTGATCTTAACAAGTATGAGTGCACCACTATGTATTATTTTCCCTTCAAAAGATGAACAGACAGAACCAACATAATAAAGTAACTATTCGGCGAGGAAACGCGAGTGCAAAGCGTGCTAATTTCAGGGAATGGCTAACGAAAATTAATTGGTTGAGCTTGTATCAAACGGTGTCATGCGAAACGAAATTAAATTTGTTCTATAATGCCATTGACTAGATTATATTCTACCAACGAAGACTGTCAAGCTGCATGCCAGCTCCTTGCCAATGAATTTTACTATTGGAAAGTGGAAACATCGTGATTTGAAATTTATTCCACCCCCCCCCCCTTCCCTTCCCTTGCATGGTAATCTAATATTTTAGGAGCCACGTCACTAGTGGGCACCAGGGACTTTCATAATCAGGAGGTGAGCGAAGGTAATACCCTGGGTAAAAGGTTGACGCCCACAAGGGCCCGAGGATAAGATGCTATCATAGATTCTGGTTTGAAGATATGGCACATTTCGAAATCTCTTTGAATAAACCGATTGCACCTACTGATCTGCAGCAAAAATTTGAATGTAATAAAGGAATTATCCACTGCATTTTATCCACTGCATGAGTAACGAATTATCCACCGCATGAGTAACGTTGAATCTCATTTTATGTCAACAGGAATGAGTCCATTATAAACAATTTGATTTGAAAAATGGTTCATTAAAGTCAAAAGTGCTTCATCTATTTCTAATTATTAGATTACTGAGGTTAACTGAGTCCATGCGCTGAAAAATTCTCCATGAAATCACTGTACTAACAATGTCATCGTGAAGAAGCACATAAGAAAACAGCACATACTTACCGAATAACTTTTTTTATACCCGAATTTCCCCGAATAGCATTGAACATTCTTCATCAGACTATAAAGATCTTGAATAATAAATTTCAGCTGCGTCTTGTTTCTCTCGGCGACTGCAAAAAAATTGATATAATTACATTATTACTTACAGAATTTAAATGTACCATTGGGATAATATATATGAAGGTCCTACACTGTAAATTTCAGGGAGTTGATTTAACTCCAGTGGTATTATTCTGAACCTAATTTTACTCCACATTTGGAATTAATTGAGGTACAGTATAACTCCACCGGAGTTAAATTAACTCCCCGAAATTAACAGTGTAGCTAAGGTTTTAACTTTTGAGAGGTTTATAGGGCAAGACAACAAAAATAGCAAACGATGCGATTTCGTTCGAGGAAAGGGGTTTTTGTATTCCGAGTAATGAGTAATGAGTGATGAGAATGAGTAATGAATTTTCGTACTTGCTTTGGAAAGAACCATGAAAACATTGACAGTGATTCCACTCAATCCTTGCCTTAAATAATTATAATGCTGTGACAATGCGAGCAGTGTAAACTAAATGATAAAGTCAAATATGGACATAATTTCGCTTGTAGCATGCTCGTTTTAGGCATGTCACATATTGACCAGTTTAGCCTTCAAAACGATCGTCGCCAATTAGTTGAATAATATGTTCGCAATAGTAGAATACAATGCTTGTGAAAAAATCAGTAGAATACAGGTAGGCTAAACGAAGCTGCTACTGCTATCCTATAAAGATTGGTTTTATAATAAATTTTCGGCCGCCTTATTTGATTTTCTATCTTCGGTCAGTATAGGCCAAGCTCTATATATATGAAAAAAGTGAAGCCAGCGATGGCGGACAAGCAAATCCAATTGACGTCCACAGTCACACCTTGTAAATACAAAGAACTTAACAGAGAACGCCTTTAGCAACCAAGTTCGTACATACTCCAGATATATTCTTCTCAAATTCATTAATAATTCATGAGCAATTCAGCCAATTATAATCACCTATTTGATCAAAAGATGTCATTTGGATACTTGATGAAAGTCACAAGTGTTTTCATCAAATATCTTAATTACGCATGCAAAATTACTTGAATAGAATTCCTAATTATGTTATGGTTGGTTAAGAATTCTATTCAAATCAGCAAGCGAAAACATTCTGTTACGTCTCGATCCATTGGAGAAGCCATATAAGCAACTCGTTGTTCATATATTACCTCTATATTTTTAAAGAGCAGAATTGAAATACACAATTACAGAGTACGTGTGAGGCAGCGACAGTGCTGTAGAACTAAATTTACGAAAAGGGGTCTTGACGAGCGTGACGTGAAATTGTAAAATAAAAGAAAAGATATTAAAATAAATAAATAACTCAATATTGCACGATGTTACATCATTAATTATTTTGCAGTGTAAATGTTAACGCAGTCAGTACATATAAGCTAATTATTTATTTCCACGCACTGCGGCACCACATTTTTCTAACAAATGCTTACTTTCTGCGGCTTAGTGTCTTGATGTAGAGTAAGTAAATTTGGTGTGAAATATGAATGGATGGGAAAAAATGCATCTCATAATGCCGGTATAATAGCGATTGTTTTGATTGCTTAACCTTGTAGAATCCGACATATTTATAACCTATTTTATACCTATTTTTTTCTCTATTTATAGCCCTATTTTTTCCGCATTTTTTCAAAATATGACTATTTGATTACTATTTATCAAATTTCATAAAATAGTATATGACTATTTACAGTCTATTTAAAATATAGGTTATTTATATTTTTCAAAAAAATAGCTTTGAAATAGGTATTCAAATCCTATTTGAAAGAGTAATTGACCGAATCTCACTATAAAATAGCTTTTAAATAGCTATTTAATTCCTATTGGGGGTGACAAACAAGTCAGTTAAAATAGTTTAAATAGCTATTTTTAAAATATTTTTGCTAATCTTCTTTGGAGCCATTCTTAACATAGTTATTAAATAGCAAAATAAATAGATCTTAAATAGCTATTTAATTCCTATCCATATTAGAAAGTTGTGGCGAACTTTGTTCAAAATGGCTAATAAATAGCTTTTTTTAAACTATGTTTTTTAGAACTATTGTTAAAATAGCTACTAAATAGCAAAATAATTAGATCTGAAAAAGCTATTGATTTCCTATTCATAGAAAGTTGTGAGAATTGAGAAAGGGTAAATGTATTTATTTAACTGGTCAAAATTTCCCAGTTTGAGTTAATTTTAAATTTTTCATGAGTTCATTGAAAATATATTTACAAAAATATTTATAGTCTTTGTGGAGGTAGGTATTTTGTCTCTTGATAAAACACCATTTTTGACAAAACACCAATACCACCAAAAATTTTCACGACGAGCGCCGTTTGGCAGACTGGTGCCTAATTTTCCTACAACGCGTGCAAAGCTTTCTGGGATAGCATTATAATTCACACAATCACACCGCTATATTTAATTTTTTTTTAGTTTAAACTTTCCGCTCGAAATACTCAAATACAGAGCTTTTATTGAGCGAAAAATAATATTTATTTTAAAGATTAAACATCAGGGATGACTAGGTAACATCCAGGTAAGAATTTTGTTATCTTTTATATATAAATAGAGGAATTTTGAAAGGAAATATTTACTATCTTCATTCGTGAATTTTGAGCACATGTTCCGGCTTAAAATTTCAATTTGCTGCGACAATAATTGAATTAAAACAACATTAGTTTAATTTATAGAAAGGCTTACATTTGACTCAACCTTTATGTTAAATGTGTTGTTGTCATATGTGGCAACTTGATTATAGGCGTGTCCCTAACTGGAAACTGTTAAAGTCCTCAGTTTGCTTGTTCAAACTTATAAATACATTTAGTTACACCACATATGTCTTCATGATCTGCTTAATAATATATGTAACAACCTTTGGGCTACATTTTATATATTTTTGAGACACCCCGGCAAGGGTTTGATTGTTTTTGGAATTACCCATTTCATTCCAATGAGCCCAATATTTAGCACTTTGTTGTTAAATGTTATTTTGCCTAATGCCGGACAATAATTTTATTCATGAAAGGAAGTGTCTAGCTAGCGTACTAGACTCTGCCCATGTTTCATGCATTCAATAGCATTCCCTCCTTTATGATACACATCTCTCTAGATCTCGTTATGCTGGATCACCACATCTGTAAAAACCGGACCATAGAGATTGCTGTATTCAAATGGTAGCCGGCACAATTTTTCACGTCTATTGGTTGCCATTGAACAAATAAATTGCTGTAAGTTATGCCATTGTTGTTTTACACCAGAATATGTAACCACTTGTGGGAATGAGAAGTTAGGATATGTAACAACCTGAGGTGTCGACGAATGTGTAACCATTTAAGGCATCATAGGATATGTAACTACTTGAAGGATTGTAGAATGTGTAACGACGTCAGACATCGTAGATTGTGCAACTACTGGGGCATAGTAAAATGTATATGTGGAACCTCTTAAGGCATCGTAGAATGTGCAACCACTTGAGGTATCGTACAGTGTGTAACCACTTGAGAGATTGTGGGATGTGTAACCGCTTGAGAATTGTTAGATGCTGTTACTCTGTCAGTATAATAAAGTTCCTCGCATCGAGGTGTGTTAGACCTCTTTTTTGACCAGTAGACCTCGTGTAAACATTTACAGTGGATACAGCGTACAAATTTGGTTCACTTGTGGCTTTTTATCAAACTGTATAGAGAAAACCTTCCAAAATCTCCCGTTTGTGTTCAACTGCAACAGCATGCAAGCACAAATTGGGACTTGTGGTTAATATTAAACAAGGGTAGTGAATCATTCCGCCCTGGTGTACGATCACTACATTTGGCTGGTCTGCATGCATGGACTTGCTGAAATCTTTAAACTTCTTTGTGAAATCATCTGTAGGTTCTTCAATAATTTAATTTGGTAAACCAAGGTATTTCTCTGCTTTCGTCCAGATAGGTAACAAAATTGCAATGTCTGCAGCAGAAGTTACCATGGAGTTGTATGAGATACTGTAGGCAGTATGACTGTTGTGCTAGTATTTGTAGTTTTGCTTCTTGCTTGTTGTTATTGACTGCTGTTTAAAGCAGCTCCGCGACTTTTAATATACCTGAAAACGCTACCCAAATCTGATTGGTTAAGTATAGGACAGTTTTATCTTAACACAAAAAAAACTGCGGTCTTGTGAGAGATACAACTATCTGTAAAATTTGTGCATGCAGAACTTCGAATTCGATGTTTCTCTACTAACTTCCTGGCAAGGACCTTCGCTCAAAACTTCGAAATTCAACCTGTATTTTTTACGGAATTGTATCTCTTTCAACCTTAGCTTTCTTGTTATTGTCAATATACCTAGATTACCAAAGATGTTTAAGCTCAAGATTATCTTAAATTAACACAGTTTGTGCCAAAAATGAAATTTAGTGCCAATGAATGTAGTTCAGTGCAAAATTAAGGAAATCAATGAAATTTAATGTCAAAAAGGTAATTCAGAGACAACAGATACTATAACTTGGCTAGCGCTCAAAAAAACGATACTGTACTTTCATTGATGTTTTTACAATTCCAAACTTACGAACAGATTGATGTGTCGAAACGTCTTCAAATTGCATTCAAAACCTTCCTATACTTGCCAAGCCAACGGGACCAAGCGCCATTCCGGCCGTACACCTGTGGCAAGGGTATTAATTCCGCGCGGTCATTAACACCCGGGGGAAAAGAAAGCATTTTAGCCAAGTCTAAAGTGATGTCATTGATGTACGGTTGGACGTCCTCATGCACTGCATGATCTCAAAAATATGGCTACTTCCCCGGAATGGGATAAGCAAGATTTCAATACTTAAAAACAAAATTCAGAAAATCGTTTGATACAAAGAGCTTTCAAGCAAGTTTCCTTTGAAGAAATAGGGAGAACATATACACTATGGAAAATCGTGAAAGATTGTCTTGAAAATGATACTCAGTCAATTGGACGTCACTTTGACAGCTTCTTGATATGTATTTCTTGCTTTTATATTTATTTGGTTAAATATTTCAACTTGAATGAGAAATTTACTTTATTAAAGAATTCTTCGGATCGGATCGGATTGGAATTCTTTTTCAAAACTCGGAACGGATCGGATTCGGATTAGACAATTTCGGATCGGATTTTAAACATTAGGCAATTGTCGGATTATAAACGTCCAATCTGATCCGATGCACACCTCCAGTCTATTGTCAGTATTTTAAAGGTATATTATTTAAATGATAAAGGTGTGCATGATTTTGAAGAAAGAATGATTATCAGCAAATTATTGTAAGGGCTGATGCCCCCAGTCCCCCACCCCCCGACTGCTACGGCCCTGAGAAGTAATAAACCGAAAAACATTTACCGATTTACGATTTGTTTTACGTTATCCATGTAAATGGCGTGATTTCGTAAATCAGTTTATACCAATGGTTTATACTGACAATATACCATTATATCAAATATCATCTGACTGTAATCACAACACGTTCTACTATAGGGTCCAATATTCTATTTAGCCAAAAATGGTGCCTATTTTCGTATTTTTAAACAAATTTGTCCAAAACTGAAAAACACAGAAAAATTGTTGCTTAAAAACACCTTTTGTGCAAAAAAAAAAGAATGCAAATTTTCTTCTCTTGCTAAAACAATCAAATTTACCTAAAATGAACAATACATTTTATAGACTGTTCTGAAAAGGATCAAATAATGGAAAAGTAGCATGACAGCTAACAGTGAAAATATGTTGGTTTAACCAAAGGCATCTCTGATCAATTTATATATGGAAACTATATCAATGTTTCGATAAATCGACACCATGTGAATGTTTCAGTTTATCGAGACCATGTGAATGTTTCGATTTATCGAGACCATGTGAATATTTCGATTTATCGAGAACAAGTCAATGTTTCGATTTATCGAGACTATGCCAATGTTTCGATTTATCGAGACCATGTCAATGTTTCGATTTATCGAAGACAATGTCATGGTTCGATTTATCGTGACCATGTCAATGTTTCGATTTATCGAGACTATGCCAATGTTTCGATTTATCGAGACCATGTCAAGGTTTCGATTTATCGAGACCATGTCAATGTTTCGATTTATTGAAACCATCTTAGTGACATCTAACATAACCTAAATCAACACATTTTAGCAAAAAAATAATATTCTATTCAATTTAGCATTATACACATAAATAGAAAATATATAGAGCACAATGTATTTAGGTGAAAACTATTATGCTCAATATCAAAATGATATATATTTAAATAAATTCACAACTAAACTATTAATAAGATTCAACCCCTTAATGAAATATAACATTATTATTATGCTGTTAGATAGAGTAATATAATGAAAGAGCAGTAGGCAAGAAGGGCACATTTAAGTTTTGTACTGTAATGCTCCTCAAAATGTATAAATGGTAATGTAAATTAGCTGTGCCGAGCTCTGCACTAATTACATTACTCTGTCCAGTACAAGGTGACTTTACAGTGTTCTTTTTTTATATAAACAATACTAAAATGTTCTTCAACAACGAGTTCGTCATCTAGCATGTAGTGCCAGTATATATTTTCTTATCCTTATGCAAGTCAAAGGCTACAAGAAATATACAACCTGGCAAACATCTGCCCAAGGTTCATTTTTATCAGCCAATGAAAAGACCATTTCTTGGTAATGTTCCTTTCCGATAATGAATCTTGAATGAAGATCATCTAGCGTCACCAATGAACGGTTGGTTACATATAGCCCTTGTCAACATAATCCTAAGGAGGAATTGATATTATTAATGAATGGTGATTATGGGAAGCACTACGTATTTTCATAAAGCACACAATGGTAATTCTACTTTTCGATTATATTTTAGTCATCCTCAGCAATGGATGAAATTGAACACATTGATAACAGTGCCTTCTATACCCTAGTTGCAGTTAGCTTTTTCTTAATGATGCTATGCCTATTGATAGAACACCGATACTTCTCACAATGCTTTAAAATAATTAAAATTAAAATGCCCGGTCTCTCATTTCAACAAATCTGGGATCTGACCAACTGGGCTAATAGTTTGTGCTTCCTTACATGAACAAAATGTAATTTTCTATGCTAATATTATTATGGCTCATTTGAACAGGCCATACAAATCAGGCTAAATGACCAAGGTACGTATTTAATTTGAAGCTACATGTAGGGATCGCCCCTCAGTGCCCTCAACCCACTCCTCCATTGGCAAGGCTTGGATGTGAAAAGCCTATTCTTTATAGATCACGTACAAACTTCTTCACATTCATAATTCAATATTATTAAGTTCAATGACTTCAATGTTCAATCAAGTGAAGATGCCCAAGAAATATTGTTATAAATATTACACTATCAAAAAGCTGTCAAGCAAAGAAAAAATGTTGTCTTTGTAAGAAATAAATCAGCTACAGAGAGGCCAACATCCTGTGGAATTGTTACTGTATTAACTCAAGACAAAATTTTTCTCATGTATTTTATACACGAGTTGTAAACCAGGAAAATAAAATTCCGTTACAATATACTTCTGAGATAATGAGATTGTACTCTCTTTTCAGGGGAAATAAATAGCAATTGTGTCGTACATACCTTGCTTGATTTAATATTTAAGTATTCCTGCGTTGAGAAGTAATAAATATTCAAATATTCCGGCGATAAAGAAGCAAACGATTTGAATATTCGCAAATATGAAACATGGCAAACAGGCAAAGAGTCGCGGTGCGCAAAGCATGTTGGTACTATTTTTACCGAACTCGAAGCGAGCTGTTTCGATTATGTCCTTTTATGGACATCGTCGTGTTTCGTTTCATAAACCGTTGGTTATTGTTCGTTCTTTGGCGCACATATCTATAAATTTTGAATTCGAATCGCATTCAACGGCGTATATTAGCGTTATAATAGCTACACTATGGCAAGTGCTTGGATATGAATAATGGTCATGAATACTAAATATTTAACAAAATTAAAGCTAAACAGTCGATACTGTCGAAAGAACAAATCAAAGGGAAAAGCGTTGAATTATATTTGCTGCCAAGGTCCAGATTAATATGGTCAAGATCGAGGTCAAGATAGTGCAAATTTCAGGTTGGTGGATTTTATTGAACGCTTGAAGCGGTCCCAAGAATATTGTTTATATTTTTAAAATACATATCCCTTCTTGTCTGTGTTTTAACTGTACAACATATAGGAACGATCATCACTTCTGCTCTTCAATATTCAGTAAATTTTTCTAGATTATTTTACTCTGTCTGACGCCAGCTTGATAATTTTATACTCGATGAGGGCAGAGTACTGGCGCTCAATGGGTTGACCAGACTATTTCCCCATCTGTCTATTAACTCAAGCAAGAAAGGTTTAAATGTTCATATATTTTGCAACATGTCTGCCACTGGTCATGAACGTGTTTTGACTGAGGCAATGGTTCACACTTGACATTGTTTACAGATACAATAAAAGTATATGGCCCCTGTACATAAGCCCCCATCAAAAAATCTTTACGAACGAATATAAGCCCAGGGCATATGTTCGGAGGTTCACGGTTTCTCTTGTGTTCTTTGATTGGCAGTAAAAACTGTAATCATTTTAATGGTGTCTGTTCTTATAGTTTTTTCCATTCTTTTAGATTGATGTAAAGCAAATGATATCACTTTTGCATGATGTAGGCCTAGTACATCAAACACAAAAGAACCGGGTTTGACCATAGAGGGTTCAGACCACCTGATAAAGGAGATTGACAGTAGCACAGCTATACAAGAAGGTATATAATCAGTATTCAGTGCCATGTAATGGTTTGTGAAGAGAAACTCTTTTGATGTATTACATCGCTGCTGTGGGATTGGTTTACTGCAGCACTTGGTCTGCATGTTACTGGATCCATATGCATTGTCGTGGGAAAATTGCCTAAAGCAATATAGTTATAGGGCAGAATTAGAAACTCTTAAAACTGAATTTAGTTGTTACTACTGTATACCGTACTGTCTAATGAAGTGATTTTAGTCAATATAGATATATACTTCTTGTTGTTGTTGTATATGTATAAATAATATAGCTAGCTATACTGTACACCAGGCTGCCTAGAGAATTTGCGGGGACAGAGGCAAACCTTCCCTGGGGCCCCATAACATTGTTATTTTTAAGCTAGACCCAACTAAGCCTTAGCTAGACTGCATGTGGAGGTGCTGTAAGTGCCCCTCAATTTTAAAAATGCTCTTTATAGAACCTACTCAATTTTAGGCTCTTCTTCCAAGTTGGGGCCCTATTAAGGTGGGGGCCCAGGGCAATTTGCCCCACCCCCTTGGCGGCCCTGACTGTACATGTGATTATTTTGATTATAGCTAAATAGAATATGCAACCCTATCCTAGAATGTGTTATATTTTGAGTGTATACCATAGTGCTAACCCATTGAGCTGAATTGTGCCCTAATTTGTTGTTTTACTATCAATATTTAAAACATGGCTTGTTTTGGCAAGACATGACATCCTCTTGGTTTTTCACATATTGAATTTGACAGAATGTCATTTCTGCGATATATCGAAACAATGCCATTTCTTTGAGGTATCGAAACCATGGATAGTTTAGAGTTTACGACAAATTGAAAAAATGGCAATCTTTTGATATATCGAAGAAATGGCATTCTTTCAATGTATATGGAAGCCATGGATAGTTTTGTTTTCGATATATCGAGGAAATTGCAATCTTTCGATATATTGAGGAAATTGCAATCTTTCGATATGTCGAAGAAATGGCATTTTTTTTTCAATATATCGAAGAAATGTCATTCTTTCGATATATCGAAGAAATGGCATTCTTTTAATGTATTGAAGAAATGACATTCTTTCGATATATCGAAGAAATGGCATTCTTTCGATATATCGAGGAAATTGCAATCTTTCAATATATCGAAGAAATGGCATTCTTTCGATATATCGAAGAAATGGCATTCTTTCGATATATCGAAGAAATGGCATTCTTTCGATATATCGAAGAAATGGCATTCTTTTAATATATTGAAGAAATGGCATTCTATCGATATATTGAAGAAATGGTATTCTTTCTATATATCGAGGAAATTGCAATCTTTCGATATATCGAAGAAATGGCATTCTTTCGATATATCGAAGCATTGGATAGTTTAGAGTTTTCGATATATCGAAGGTGGCATGTTGAGTTCTTGATATATAATTTTCACTGACTGTGGTTGCCTCCAGACATGTTTTGAAACTATAACATTTTCCTCTTTTTTTCCGTTTTATTCACATGCCTTTTACTCACTTTGCTAAAAACAATAAATTTTGCCCAAATTTTTTAGCAGTTTTTTCCTCTTAGAGACTTAGTATCATTTTAGTCATATCCTGCAACTTGGAAAAGCCAAAATTGTTGCAAAATGTGTATGTTTTTGCTGAATATATTTCCAGTCATTTTTAACATGCATTTGATGTGATTTTTCTATTAAAACATGAAATCTGTCATTGTCCACATTTGCAATTATTCTTATGTTTTTAACCAATTTTTATCATGTTTGAAAAAGAATTCTTGTTTTCATGTAGAATTATTACATTTATGTATAATTTCTCCACAGTCATCGCTGTATTCATTGCATTTTTTAGTGTTTTCCTTCATTTTCCTCTCAAATTCTGTTAAATGGAATATTGGACCCTATAGTAGAACGTGTTTGACACATGTTTAATTGAACAATTTGAAATGTTGTTTCCTAAAAGAAAATGGCGAAAAAAGCCCCAAAACTGTCGAAAAACCACGATTTGCAAGAATAAACAGAGGAATTTTGCAAGAAACGACACAAGATCTCCCAGGCGCTCCTCAATTTTCGATGCCTCCAGCCCATAACTCCCTGCGTTTGTTCGTCGCGATGCACTACTTCAGGTAAATCTTTCATATAGTGACTCACTAGCAAAAATACAATTTTTTCGCGGTTTGTTTTTCATTGTTAAAATGGCGAGTTTATATATATATATATATATATATATATATATATATATATATATATATATATATATATATATATATACAACGTAAAAAAGCGAGGCAAAAAGACTGCATGCTTTATCAAAAAAGCCATTTATCTAATATTGTATTTCGGAAATGTCATAAGTTAATCTCAAAGTTTTCCGAGCATTTTCTTCGGTTTGTTTTTCCATTGACTTGCAGCCCAAAAAGGCTCAATGCTCGCACGTACGTTCGCTATTGCGTTCGATGGCCGTTCTACGCTTCTTTACTAAGCAAAACAGACGATTTTACTACTAATGAAACATATGTCGAAAAACATCAGTTTAAACTCGTTTTGGAAAAGTATTCTTGAATTAATTATTAATTGACGGTTTTTTGAGAACGCAATTAGATATTTATTTTATCTGTTGAAAGCAACAAAAATTAACAGCTATACTTTTGATTTACATGCAAAAGGTTTTTAACTTCATGAGAATAAAATTAGTACAGCAAAAAAGCCAGTAAAAGCCGGTTTAGCTGCATGTATTAAGTAGTGTAAAGTATTATAATTTTGGCAACTTTTTGCGCTATAAAATTTACTTAGCATATACGGCTATGGACTTCAAAAACAAATGTAAAATCTATTGTCAGCGCTTAAAAATGATAGATTTTAACAGAAATAAAATTCAAAACATATTAATTATTATAAAATTAATTTATTAAAAGGCAGTGCATTTTTTGTGAATTTTTATAAAGTAATGTTAACGTATAGTATAGCTTTTCCTTCAATATTATAGTGAATATTTAGGTTAAACATATCTTTATTATGACTTTCAACATCCAACTCTTAAAAAAAATTCGTTTTACTGCCATTTTTGCTTTTCTTCTTAACTTTTTTGTAAAATTAAACGCGCGTTCGTGCCATTCCCTAGCAGCATCACACATGGATTAGCGATAGAAATATTAGACCTAGAATGCGTGTTTGGTCAGGTGACAGGTGTCCAAATTAAAAACAAAAATGCCCTATAAATCCGCCATTTGAATTTGAATAGGAGTGCAAACTACAAAGTATAAAACACTGTTAAAACTAAGCTTACATCGTCAAAACGTTTTGTCTTGCCGTCTAATTTGTAGATTGGGGATAGATTTTGAAATATTAAGTTCTTTGAAGTCTTTGAAGGCACAAAGTAATTAATGTGCAGTAACAAAAACAGTGAAAATCGTGCGGCCTTGCAAAAACAAAGTAGTTTCGCGTAAAATATAAAATGTACTCATAACACATTTTTGTATCCTCTGAAGTCTAAACGTAACCGTTTTCCTAACATTTTATTGAGTTTTTCTTCAATCTAAACGAAATGTTTTCATGTTTTTGAAACAAAAATATTTAGTTAGTCGATAAAACTGTAAATCGCCTTTTGAAATAATCGTCGAGAAACTATGGTTTCAAAAGCGTTGCCTCAAGCTCAAACAAGGCATAGAAAAACATAAAAAGCAGTTAAGTAGTTATGTAAGTTTAAAAAGATTATTGAACTCCATTTATATTATAAAACAGTTGAAATATATATTTTTAGAACATACCTATTGAGTTTGAGTTTGTCCCGATTTTTCGTGTTTGTTTTGGCTTGCACAACAACGTTGAAAATATATTTTTACACGACAATTTCTGTATATATATTGTGTTCAGAACTATCGCTTTTCGTAAAAAAAACCCACTGGAGTGGGTTTTTCTTCTTTACAAAACTTGTTTTCTACTTTATTTGTCTGGATATAATTGTTTTTGCAAACTTTGTTTAAAAAAAACAGAATTCGCACTCCCTACAACCGCGCGAAATTCTTTGCCGCAGGAGTCTGGGACAAGCTAAAATGCCCTTACAAATCCGCCATTTTGTGCAGACAAAATTGTTGCGAAAAATGATAGGAGCACGCATTCTATGTCTATTATTTCTATGGGATCAACGGGTTTCGTCGCCCGTGTTTTATTACGCCCTGATAATACAAAGTCACACATAAACAATTGAAACAATGTTGCCCTTTTCTTTAGGATTTCTCATACTAAAACAATTCTTATAAATGCTTACATTTACAAATTGAAAAAAGTTTTGCAATTTGTTATATGAAACGATTTTCCAAGCTTTCTTACATGTATTTTTTTATTTTTGCTTTCTTCACTCTTTGCAAACAGCCATATTTTAAGATCAGTGAGATGATCACCCATACCGCCATGCGCCCGCGATATTTGATGAACTTTAGATTTCGCTAATGCTTTCCTTTCCCCAGGTGTAAATAACCCGGCGGAATTAATACCCTCGCCACGTTAACAGTCCAATAATCTTTTCACGGGTTTTGCCATTTTGTCCAAAAAAATAATCTTACTGCCACATATAGCAACATATACAACTTGAGTATATGCGTTTAGATGTTAAATCAACATTTGGAAAACATAAGCGAGCGGTAATTGGTGATGCATGTATGTCTATTTCTAGTACTAACAACATGCCTCCATTAATTATTCTTGATCCTTATATCCCAATTATAGCCCATTGTCGGACAAACTATTATTGAATAGTATAGTATATGAATAATTTATTATGGTATACATACACAGAGTAGTATCAGGCTTCCAGTGAAACGTGGACATCAATTCTTCGTCCTTTTGATAAGGCTTCTGCGTTCTCAATTCCAAGCGAATGTTTGTTGGACCACATCGAAGTTTCTTGCAAGTTGCTAAAAATTAATTCCAACAACTTATTCGTAACTTGTTGGCATTATCATTGCGCATGCTAAGAGTTATCAAACAGGCCACCACTGTAGAGACTAACCAACCGTAGTGGCAAAGGCGCTTCCCTGATAAGGAAAATAGATATGACACGCTCATTTACCACCATTGCATCTCCGGGATGTTGGAGCTGAATATACTGAGTGTATTTAAATTGAATGTTAAGCTTTAATAATGTTACTCTTTTAACAGAAATCAATTACAATTTTCGACTGCATTGATAATCAAGGTTTTAAAGGAGTATCAGTTTTGCACTTACTTGTTGTATTAATAACATTACTCCAGCTGCTATATGGTGACGATTTATTTAGTTTAATAGCGATTACTCGGAATTTATAACCAGTGTTCGGTTCAAGATCTTTAACGGTATAAGTTGTTTGGTTGGCCTATATATATAATATGGGTAAAATGTATTATTCTATATTATCAAAAGCAATACAGAAATTGTACATACACGGAAACGGAGTTTGTCTATCGTTTGGGAAAATGCACAATCTTAGAAGTTTTAGTGTTTAAAAAGCATAAGCCTTATTTATTATTTTGCAATGAATTGGACCATGTATATGTATAACGAAATCTAATCAATGACTTTATGAATATTTCTTTTAGGATATGACTTGGGCGTGGACATGTCCTCAGTCTAATTTTTTTCTAAGAACTGATTGAATAAATGGAATGCATGATACTGAGATCGCAATACCAATTTGGATATTTTTAAGGACGGGTAAAAAATAAAAATGCACTTACATAGTGGTATTTCATTGTGTAAGGAAACACAACAAAGAGATTATTCTTCTCCTGAGGGCCCCATTGTGGCTTAACTTCCAAAATATAATGACGATTTCTGTGTTCCTCAAATTCTGTCGTATTGAACTGTAATTGTATCGTTTGCCATCCAGCTTCAACCAGTCTTGGCGCTGCAGGCTTTGGTAAAGTTCTTTCGTAATCTTTCGCATATATAAATTTATTTGAATAAACGTTAGTCATTGATAATCAATTAAAACATGAAACTACTATTTCTTCTCACAAAATGCAGATAAAGGTCAACAGGTATTACATGTAAACGTCCCAAAATAATGTCACAATACAGCGTAAGTAATTAATATGCTTAACTCAACGAAAACGAAGGAATATTCATTGATGACTTATGTTAATAAGGATATCTTTTTTACAATTAAGCATGCATATATTAAAACATACTAGGTAATTGTTTAGCAAACGCTTATAAAATAAATCAAAACTACCGAAACTTTACATATTAGTCTTTGGGATCTTAAACTTAGATCTTAGTCTTTGGCATACATATACTACATACTTTTTGACATGCTCGAAATTTCTGGATAGCTATGCAATCATGCAAATGTAGTTTTCGTCCTTGTATTTACGAAAATATTAAATGTAAGTACTTTAATAATGCCTTGATGCCATTCAACCGTAGTCACGATGGACGAGTTATATGCGATTCCAGCAGCTCTGCATTTTCTTATTACTGATTACTGTAATTGTACTTAATCTTTTATTCTCCGTTTATATAGCCTAGCATGTACTGAGTGGGAATATTGAATTGTTGGAGAAAGGAAGGTACTGTACCTTATGTACTGTACCTCATTTACGAAGTAAAGCATGCATTAATGTCTGCGACAGAAGTGATATGCATTTCCCTAAAAGACGAATTTTTAATTCGCGATTTTAGGCTTATGCAGCGAGCATGTAATATTTTTTTAGAAAAGAGCAAGAGGAACGATGCCCCCCCCCCATTCTCCAGCGTCCCTATCTGTAGACTGTCGTATTATAATTTATGAATTTTCTTCAATCGAATTCAATTTCTTTTATAAATGATATATTATTGTATTCGTTTGAAAATCATCTGAAATATTAATGTTCAATAATGTTACAGGATGAGCAACAGTATACTATAAAACTAATGTTAGATTATATTAGGATTAGGCTGGATTAAGTGGCATAGAGTTAGATCTAGGGTAAAGATCATAATCTTAATGAGAGTTATAGGATTGTAAGGACTAAGAATAAGAAATAGCTAAGAAACAGTGGCGCCGCCAGCTCGATAATTGAGGGGCACATAACCATATATTCGTGTTCTGCGTTATTAAGTTCTTTTGAAATCGATTGTTTTTAAAGTCTATGAACACGAATATATGAATATTGCCCACCCCTCCCAATTATCGAGCTGGCGGTGCCACTGTAAGAAATCTTTGGCAATTAGCATGGATTAAGGTATTGATTTTTACAGAAGCCAATTAGTACAAACTGGGTATACAAAAAAAGTAGGCAATTTTGAAACGGCTCTCAATTTTACAAATCCGTTCATGTCATGAAATTTTTGACAAATATTGATTGTTAAGGTATTAAAAATGTAGAATAAATAAAAAATAAAGTAAAGATTAATTTTACAGAGCAGGAGGTGTCTTTTTTCAGCAGCATTAAAAATAACTTGCGCGCGAAAATTAAAAGTTTATAAGGACATTAGCAATAAAAAATTAGTTTGTCTCATTCGAAAGAACTTTAAAAATTATATATTAAACTCTATATTACCGAATTTGTCATATCTTGCTTACTTCTCGAAATATTTAAGAGGGCAGTGTCACGGGAGTGTCACCGTGTTCGACCCTCGCAAATATTTAGGATCTTGCACAAAATTTAAAAGAATGGTTGTCAGCACAACATATACAAAACGGCATGTGCTAAAACCTGGACGATGGACAATGGACGATGGAAGATAGACGATGGACGATAGACGATGGTTATTTACAGTCGAAAGTCAAAACACTAAAACCCGCACACTTCCGCTCTAGACTTGTACTTTGTTGTCATTCATTGTATACTACGTCGTGTATTAATAATAATACTAATATTGCAATACTTGTATAACAAAGCATGGCTTTTCCGTAAGATTCACTGCATAAGCAGCAAAATTTAACTTATTTATTGGTAACGCATAATTTGGTAGCCGCTAAAGTAATACAAAACAAAAAAAAGTAAATGATAACATAATGACAACCTATTGCTTTATTATTAACTATCATTTAACAATTATTCGCCGAAGGCAAGGTGATTATCGGTGAATAAAAACCGAGGCGAAGTCCAGGTTTTTATTCACGATAATCACCGAGCCTGAGGTGAATAATTGTTTTAGTATAATTTCATGGGTGATTATTTGGAAAAAAATTAAAAATGCACATTTCTTAGTCTTTTAATTGACGGCTTCGGCCGCCATTTTAAAAATCGCTTAGGTGATTAACGAGTAATAATCACCTCAACGGTAACCAATCAGCGTGGAGAATTTTCAATAATCACCTATGTAATTATACTAATTATTGTTAATTAATCATTGATGGGATGTATAATCTGCACTGATTAGAAGTAAAATTGAACTTGAGCAATATTTACGATAATCGACATGCTGCGATAAAAATGCAATGTTGAGAATTGTAACATTTACATTGATTAAGGTAATTTGTATAATTTCGATTTAATTAATAAAGAACTGTCAGTCATATGAGCCAGGCTGGCCCGTTAAACTGGGCTAGCTCGCTTTGCTGGGCCAAGTTGTTATTTGTTTCACATGACCAATGAGGCGGACTATCCCACAGAAATATATAACACTATATATTATTCACTGGGCTAGATTGACAAGCGCAAAAAGAAATTCCCGCGCGATTTTTGGCGGGAACACGATATGTGTTTTAATTTCTAGTTTTATTGATGGAACTGCTCTAGCAATTTTAATGATTAACAATAAATGACAGTTAATAATAAAGCAATAGGTTATCATTTTCTTATCATTCACAACATTTTGTTTTGTATTACTGTAGCGGCTACTCAATTATGCGTTACCAATAATACTACAGTTAATGTCCTCACCGACTGTGTTTTATGTACTGTTTAGCCAGGTTGCCAAATTCCATAAAAAAACTTAAGGACTTTGGTAAAATTGCGACCTCATACTAGAGCAATTGCCTCAAGCACTTCATTCTTTATTTAGTACTTTACTAAATAGATAACAACATTGATAT